TGTAAAAATATAAATACTTATATTTAGATATTCCATAAATTAAATTTGTATTTGTCTATCTCATATCAAGATCTATTTTTACTTTTTTCATATGCTCAAAAATGTTAGTTTTTAAACATTTTTTTTTTTTGTTTGCAAATTATTTCATGAAATTTTATTAGCAACTGCCCATAATACCTAGAGCTGTACGAACACCACTCACCTGAAACTCTTTAAGTTGTTGATGGGTCTGCACCACAATGTGCTTGAATGAGTCGTTCGGTTCGCCAGCCGGTCCAAAGACAATGAATACGAGCGTTGCGATTATCACACCGATTAATATCAATATCAAATGTTTAGTTCGCATGGCCGCTAGAGTCGATTTCGATTTGAATTTCGAATTCGAGTTCAGCTTCGAATTCGTCTTATAGGCAATTTTGCGTGCAAAAATGCGCTTCAGGGTGAGTGAGGCCTCCAGTCTGATGGCCGTTCTCGAGCTCCTCGTCCCGGGTTTATCAACAGAAATAGATCAAGTGCGGTTGGATTAAAACCATTTTAATAGTCCACTAAAATTCCATTCGAGTTTTAATATCTTTGTGTTGCTATTCATTTAATTTATGATGATGTATCGTCTGCCGTCGCGTCACATGTTGCCGGGCGTGCGACCAAAAGAAGATAAATCCAATAAATACTTCTAACTCGCTAGCATATTATGATAAAAACCAAGTATTATTGCTTTGGAATACTGTTATACAGTAATATTACACACGAATCAAATTACAATGCTCGTACATATGTATATTATGATTATATAGAAAACAGCAACGGCAACAACAAAATATTGTTATAATGTCATATCCTACTTCTGTTATACTCAATGCGGAATGTGTCATACTGATATATTCGCAGGACCGTACATTTGTATATATGGTGATAAAGGAAAATAATCAACTATTATTATATTGCCATACTAATTTACTACTGCTTTATTCTTTGACTGATTTACTGATATACTGCAATGCAACGGCATTGTTTTACTGTAATACTGATACACTTTTGCTGATATACTATATGCAAACAACATATTGTTGCAATGCTATGATGTTATATTCTGAGAAACTATTATGACAAACAAATATATAATACTGTTATACTATGCATGCTTACAACAAATTATGATGCTTTGGTCATGAATGCGCTTTTCCCCTATTTATTTATAGTGTTTGTATTTTGACAAATATATTTACTAAACTATAAAAAATGACAACATTCAATGTCTTTGAATGCGAATAAAAATTTATACTATACTTTTTTTACTATTTAATGGCACACTAGATTTCAATTGGTCTTTTTATTGATGTAAGTCGAATTTTCAGATAGCTCAATCAATAAATTGTTAAAATGTTTATGATTTTCTATATTTTCGCTGGGTCTTGCGCATCAGTGTGTGTGTGTGTGTGTGAGTTTGCACACACACACAGGCATGCATAGAGACAAACGGTTATGCATATGTGAGATTGTGTATGTCTCTTCACCTTTGTGGGTTGATTTTATGGCGCACAGCCAAAGCAGCCACAAGGCAATTTAATGAATAGAGAAGCTAGGTATTCCTATGCAAGTGATTGCGCTAGACTGTTTAGCATACGATTTAAGTGGCGCTTCATAAAAGGCGCCGACTGCTTTATTTCTCTCTTTTTTCAATTTAAAGCCTTGCCGCTTGTGGCGTTGTTGTTGTTGCTGTCGGTTTTCGTTTGTTGGTTGGTGCCGGCGCAGCCTCCATTTGTCGTAAAAACTCACAAGTTCACTTCTTTGTGCTTGCAAAACAATACAAACAGTTGTCACGAAATTTTACATCATTTTTGCGATTTGTTCTTTTAACTTTCACTTTCGCGGAGCGCCTAATAAGCAAAACCGTAATGCATTCAAATGCTTCACCGACAGCCGCGACAACCACTTTTCGAGTATAAACAAATGAAACTACTCTATAGTTGGTGATGTGAGGAGACCGATAGTTTTGGCAGCTTTAGCTAATGCAAAATCGTCAGCTTGAATCGATTACTATTTAATTGATGATTAAACAAACAAATTAAATTTAACTACTTATATATGTTTATTATTGGTATTTGTATGGCATATAAACTAAAAATATAAAAATTTTACTCAAATACACATGTCGAATTGTTATCGAATAATGTTAAAATCAGCTGACCGCACTTTGCCGATGTGAATATATATTTAAAAATAATTGCTAGAGGCTGTTAAATTCGATTTCAAATTTTTATCAATTGCTGAAAAAAAAAAAAATTGTTATCAATATAATTGCTTTGTTTTATTTCCGTAGACAAAGAAAATGCTTATAAATCTTGCGGCTAAATGAAAAAGATTATGGTAAAAGAGACAAAACCAAAGAAACATCAAACAGAGATGAGATGAGTAACTAACTCAATATATCGATAATTAATCCATTGACATAAATTTAAATCGAATATCTCAGGAATAAAAATAAAATCATTTTTAACTTATTGTATATTGCTTACTAATAATAAGCATAAGCAACATATCGAATCTTAGTAGTTTCATTTAGCTAATTTACTATTTGAGTGGACATCAGTACCAAATGAGCAATCTAGTAGCCGATATTCTAGCCGCCAATTTGACAACCAATTACACAACCGAGTAAATATCGCATATCATAATGTTGAATAACATTGTTGAAAAATGTTAGTTGTGTTTTTTTAAGGTGCCCACAATTGGCATTTGAGTAACAACCTCAGAAGAGGAGCAAACAAACTTTATTCTCTGCAATGGCGGGACGCGAACTAACAGTAACACCGACGAAACGCGAGCGACGCAAGTCCCCAGCCATGGCCAGTTGCAGCAGCGGCTGCAGTACCTCACAACAACCGCCACCGCCGCCGCCTCCAATGTCACCATCCTCATCTGTGGCAGACACAACATTCGAGCCAACAGTGGATATGATGGTGAATGATTTCGATGATGAAGCCACCTTAAACGAGGAGGAAGCTCTTGCAGATTTGGAGGCGCACAATGTGGAGGACGAGATAGCGACGTTGCGTGCAGAGAGCGAAATGCCCATCGAACTGTTGTTGGCCAAATATGGCAACATGGATGGAACTGCCCTAGGGCGACCCTGCAGCAGCAGCAGCAGCGGCGGTGGCAGTGGCTCCATCTCGAGCAGAGGGCGACGACGTGCGCCCAAAAGGCCGCTGGAGGAGGACGAGCAGGAGCAAGAGCAGCCGGCAAAGCCAAACCAGGCAGAGCCGGCAAGTCCCATGCAATGCCATGAGGGCGCTTTAGACCTGGAAGACCTGCCTCCAGAACTAGCGAAAAGGTCTCATCGCTCGCATTTGCTGGATCTATATCCAGAGCAACAAGCCCTGAACGAGCTGGAAAGTTGTACGTGAAGAGAAGCAGGGCAGGACAAGGCTTTTATAGCATCTGTACTAAAATTCTCCAAATTATTTTTAGTTACTCCGTTGGAAACGTTGCTGGAGCAAGCGGAGGATGAGGATCAGGAGGATGATAGCGACACGGATTCGGATGATACTAAAAAGATGATAATGATTGGTCCCGATTACCAAGCTGAAATACCTGAGGGTCTCGCACTATATGTCGCCGATGTGTTGCCTTATGAGAATGAGGATCAATTAATTTGGGCGCCCAGCCAGGTGAGCGAGCGGGACGTCGAGGATTATCTAGCTAAGATACAGGAGACGCGTGCCGGCGAGGAGGACGTGGTAGCCGAAGGGTCAGAACGAAACGATCTGGAAGAGGTAGCACCGCTAACTCTTAATCCTGCAGTGGATGCTGCCGTAGCTGCAGACCCTGTGCCTTCTCCAGCTCCTATCGCTCAGGCTAGCTCCGATGGAGAAACCGTGGTCAAGGACAACGAGCAAGCTCTGCATCTCCTCGTGCAATGTGGCTATGATTTCAAGGAGGCCCTGCGTCGAAAGCGCATGAATGTTCTGCCTCTCAGCGACACGATGAGCAGCTGGTCGGAGGAGGAGTGCCAGAAGTTCGAGGAGGGCATCCAAAAGTTTGGCAAGGATTTCTATCAGATAAGGCAAAACCAGGTAAAGCTCGAGGACAGTAAACACAGTGGTTAACAGGCATACGAATAGGGCGATAGAGAGCTTTAAGAGACTAGTAGAATGAACTATTATAAATGTATTTGAAGTCTAAAAATTCCTTCTATATAGATGAAAAGGTTTATTAAGTGTTGTTCAAAGTTTACATAACCTATCTGTAGCTTATTTAAATATCGAGGTTTTATAATTAGGGCTCTAAGATAGTCGATATAATTTTAAGATTTCGGGCATATATAAAAATAAGGCTCATATCATAAATCAGCTCCAAGTTAAGCAAAAGTAGTAAATAAAATGAACTGAAGAAAAAAGCGTTAAAAATTTTCCAAATTCAATTCATATGGATAACAGCATAATCGATTACTGATAGGAATTTTTCATTTGAAATTTGTACACTTGACGAATGATGAATCCTATGTGTGTCCTTTCAGGTTCGCACGCGTACAATGCGTGAACTGGTTCAGTTTTACTACCAGTGGAAGAAGAGCGAGCGCCGGGATCAGAGCTTTGCACTTAACGATACTATTGATCACATGGATGTGTTCATAAACGAAGGTGGCAATGGGAATGGAAACGGGAATGGCAACGGCAGTTGCTCTTCTCTAGCGAGCAGCGGCAGTAGCAGCAATGGTCACAGCAATGGCAATGCCGCTGTGGAGGAAAAGGATGCAGCCATGATAGCAGTGGCAGTGGGAGCAGTAGGAACAACGACGCCAGCAGCGGGCGTCAATAAAAAATCTACAACGAAAAATTATTCCATTATGACTGGCGGCAGTACGGCAGCTTTGACCACTCGCAAGCATGGCATTTCTATCGCACTCGAAGAGGACGATATGGAGCAGGAGAATGGAGTGGAAAGCTTAAGTTAAGGTCAAACGATGGGCAATTACGGGGTGGGCAAATTGGGAGCAGAGCATTTGAGCCAAATGCGCAGGCGCTTGAGACTCAACGATGGCTGCTGCGAATAGGATGTGGCATTACTATTAAGAAAATCAAACATTCATTATAAAAATACATTATCTCTTTAAATATTTGTATGTATATATGTATGTGTATAAAGAGAAAAATATATATATGTATACATGTCAAAGAAATAACAAAAACTACCTCTCAAAAAATATTAATCTTTTTTCTTCTGTACTGTATCATATTAATGCAGAAAAATGTATACAAATATGTACATACATACATGTATGTATATACGTATGAATGCCTGCAAAGGCCATGCACCCATGCATACATACATAACTTTCTATGTGTACATCTTGCGGCGTATGTGAGCTTAGAAAACATAAGAAACTCGCATTTTTCGCCGTGAATAGCTGAAGCAGCGCTTAACAGATTGTCTAGTTTTTTATTTACATATGTATGCCGTAAGAGCTAATCAGAATTTATATTTTTCATTTTGAGCTAAAACAAGATTTTACAGCTGTTCGTTCGAACTCCTTCAACTGCTGCAAGGATCAAATGTCAAGCTCAGCGGCAGATAAAATAAACACGCAGACAATTCTCATATTCGCCTTTGCTTGCAATTTCGCACACACACACAAGCACAACGACCGCACGTACACTCGAGTTTCGAGCATAGAGAACCAAATGGGAGATAGCAGTAAAACAAAAACAGGGCCAGGCCCAGACGAGCGAAGATCGTGCAAAACGAAGTTTATGTTGGGTCTTGTATTTCTACTGGTATCGATGCTACACATGACACTCACACACATGTATGTACACATGCATACGTATGTGTCTAGTATATACACACATACATACACATATGGAGAGGCGTGCACATTTACGTGTGTATCAGCTCCTCTGTTCGTTTTTACGTTGACTTCACTGGCGTAGCGTGAACATTTTACGTTCAGGTTCGCTCCATGCCACACAGCTCCAGCTCAGCCAGCCAGCCAGCCAGCCAGTCGACCGTAGTGAGCGAAAAAATCCAGTTTTGTTTAAAAATAAACAAAGCGCAACAACTGCGCACGCTACAATCCTCAGCGTGCAGCATATTCGTGTGTTGGCGAGAAAGAGAGAGTGCGAAAGAGTGAGGCTAGGATACGGTTGGAGATTCTAGCTATAAGAATATAAAAATTCGTCTGTTAATCAGCTAAGACTAGCTACTGATTACGTTTGTATTTCTATAGTCGGCCAGCTGGTCAACAACAACAGCGCATTTGCAATTCGTTACGGCCGAGGCAAAGTTAACAACCGTAAAGCGTAAAGAGGAGACAGCAAAGAAACAGCCGTCAAGCGGGCAGCGGAAGCTTTACATCCGGATAGTAGACGTTGTCGTCGCAACAGCGCGTCGGCCGGTGAGTTCTTCTTCTTCTTCGATAGCAAAGCCTGTCTGCTTTGAGCCCTGCCTACGCGCTGGCTCACTCTCTGCCTCTCTCTCGCTCTCACTCAACGTCTGTCTCTCACACTCTCTCACTCTAGACTGCTTGTACATACACACATATCTGTTGATCGTTCGCTTTGCGTTGCGCCTTCGCCTTCGCCGCAGCCAAAAGGCACGTAAACTGGTTGCGTCGTCGTCGTCGTCTGCGCCGTTGCCCGTACGCCGTTTGTCGTGGTCGGTGTGGCGTGCCCGTAGTTTTTCTTTTCTTTATACATTTTTGTTGTCTGTTTTGTGTGTTTGGCTGCGCTTTTTTAGTCTTGGTGTAGCGCTTGAGCCGCGCGAGTCGGACCTTTACACGGATCAAGCAAGCATCAGCCATGGAGCTGGCTTACAGCAATGCGTCATCGGCTTCCACTTCGCCACCCTCCGTTGGCGCCTTCGGCTTCACTAACACTGCCAAACTGCCCATCGAAACAGTGAAACGGCTCATTGCCGCCGTCTCTCGCCGTCCCATCCTCTGGATGCGCACCAACGCGAATGGCCAAAAGCGCAGCGATATTACGCCCATTTGGTTCGACGTCGGAAAGGATGTCAATTTGCCAGGTAAGTTGAACAGCCCACGTTTTTCGTTTTCGGCCAGGTAACAAGCGAAGCTAACTCTCTGATTGCAAAAGGCGTATAAGCAACATGTTCAGCCCGTACATATGGTGCTACTGTGTGTGTGTGTGTGAGTGTGTGTGTTTGTGTGTATGGCATGCGGTTTCCGTGTGTTTGAGTACGTACTTATGCATATGTGTGAACATGTTTGTTTCTACAGTGCGCATTCGGTAAGGCGAATCAAAAGAAAGGAAAGTAAGCTAGGCCTTAACAAGAATTTTCATAGTAATTGACAGTGTAAACTCAATAGAATGAACGCGTGCTAATTCTTTAGGGCCTTAGTGAATGATAGCTGTAGTCAAAAATGACTAAAGTAAATATGATATAAACGAGTTCACGTCACAGTTTCAAGTTTTACAACGCATTTCAATTTATTCTATCGTTTAACTTAACGAGGGTACATTGTACTTACAATACATATATGCATAAGTTTTTACATTTCATTTAGCCAACTGGTGTTTACTTAGCAAGTACACACTGTATGAACTTAATTTTGCGGTTCTCGGCTGCTTTACCATGCGAGTGCACACTGTACGTATTATTAAAAGATACTGTATTGCAGTTTTTTTTAGCGAGGACACACTGTACATAGGCATTATATTGCTATTGCGGTTTGGTTGTCAATCATCAGACATCTGTGCCCCATGCACCGATGGCAATCGATTCATTATCCTCTTGTTCACCTTCTCTTCTTCTCCGTCTTTCCCCTGCAGCCGACGTATGCCGTGTGAAGTGGGGACACCTGCGCGATAATTTCCGTAAGGTGTACATACGTAACAACCTGTCGAATGAGTCGCCCTCGTCGTGGCGCTTCTACAACGATATGCGCTTCATGGAGCATGCCGTGCATGAGAATATCATGAGGCAGGCGCGAACGCGGGGATCCAGTTCGAGTTCCAAGAAGCATCCGCCCATACACTGGACAGAGAACAATAATCACATCCTGGACGACAGAAGTCGCAATAAATATGATGAACCTATTGTAGCCACCGAGCCGATATGTGAGCTGAGCGATAGCTACGATTCGGAGTTGCATCAGCCGAGCTTCTCGGACATCAGCTCCTTCTTCGAGGAGGAACAGCATCAGCAGCGGGACTGCAAGCGTGTGAAACTGGAGGATGTGCAGAGCAGCAAGGGCGAGGAGCTCAATGATGATGATTTCGATGAGGATGCTGCATCGGAGACCGAGGAGGAGCAGCGACCTGACCCCAGCGTCTTCACCATCGAAGTGCTCGACGATGAGGATGAGGACGTGCAGCAATCCAAGGAGAAGCCGACCGTCGTCAAGACCGAGGAGGAGCAAAAGCCAGCAGTTCTACAGGATTTACCCTTTAAGTACATCAGCATGGATGCTGCGACCAATACAGAGCCCAATGGACAGGATATCCAGGACGATGCGGATCGCATGTTCCTGCTTAGCCTGATGCCCTTCCTGCAGAGATTGGATGAGCGGCGCAAGCTGCGGGTGCGACAGAAGCTGCAAAATGTTTTAATTGAAGAACTTGAGTTTGGCTGATTGTGGTAGCCTTACGCTATGCGAGGGTAGTTTGAGAACTTCAATAGTATTAAAGATTATGTTATTTATATTTTAGACTATATAAATAAGTGTATTCAGAATATATTGTATAAATATGATGTTATCTCAGAAACTTTCAAACTACCCTCGCATAGAAGTACTTTATACACTAAATTGTACATTTTAAGCTTAGCTTACAGTATTAAATTATGCGACTGAAACACCCATTACATAGAATGTAAACAGGAAGACGAATCTAATAAATGACTGCAGTAAACACTCAAGCGGAGCTAATATAACTACCGTAAACTCGTTACAAATAGTTTAGTACTGTCAGTTCGCTATATTAAGGCTTTACCGTAGCTAACAAGCTTGAGCGGTACGTTTTAGCGAGCTCTCACTGTACATAATTATGTGACTGTGTGCTACACGCATCATGTAATTAGTGTTGTAAAGGACGCTTGGACCGCTTACCTGCAACGGGTGGGCTGCGCACCTGCGCACCTTTACCTGAACCGGTCTGTCCGTCTGTCTGTCTCAATAAATTCCATGAAGCCGCCGTTGGGGCAACGTTTTCGATGGCATTTTCTCGGCCAGCGAGCACGAAATTTTTGTCAGTGCAAAAGGCACAGAGAGAGATGAAAACAAGTTCCTTAAGGGTGTTGTTTCTAGCGACGACACAACAACAACAGCAGCGAGCTGAGCTGCAGCAACAACAAACGAAGCGCAAGAAGCAGCAGCARCAACAACAAATGCGCGCCACCACCGGCCATATTTTCGCCGCCACATGCGCCGTTAATGTGCTCGCTCTCTCCCTCTCTTTAACATTGGCTCTCTTTGTGTGTCACCACAAAAACCGAGACCAAGGCGACGCTTTAATGCGCTATAAATACGAATATGCTGCGAGCCAATAGGACATGTTGCTCAGATAGAGGAATGCTGTTCGAATTTATACTGACAACTCATCATAGGCAGTTGGGTAGTGTTAGTGAACACGTAACATATGCATATGCTAGCCAACACTAAAAGCTGCGCTGGCAAAATACATGCGGTTGTGTCATATGCTGTCACTCATGTAGTGTGCCATAACAAAAAATAACAAGCCAAAGGGGCAGCAGCAACGTTGTCGTGCATCCAGTTTCATGTTTAAATGCGTGCGTGAAGGTTGAATATATCGAGAGTGCGAAATACAAAAAGGAGCCCTGGTCCCCCAGCGTAGCAAAACCCCCGAGAAGTGGGTCAAAATTATACGGAAACACTAAATGAAAACAACAAACGCAGCAAACATGAATTAAAATCATTGAAACCGCAAAGTAGCATACGCACAACCGCGCGCATTTTACCTATTTTAAGCACGCACAACGCTGTTAAAATATAAAGAAAAGTATGTTTATAATTTAGAAATTACCGAAAAAGTGCATGTTTTAATTTCGATTAGCCAGGGCAGGGCGCATTGCATTTCTTTGCGCGCCGCATAAGTGAAAATAAATAGAAGATAAAACACAGACGCGCACACACTCTCGCGCACATAATTGTAAAATGTGCGCGTGCATGTGAAACAATACATACATACAAACGCATAAGTATACCCAATGCGATAGGCGGCAGACAGACAGAGAGCGAGAGAGAGTGAGTAAGCGAGAGTGGACGTGAGCGCCAGTGAGAGAGCAGCGGCTGCACGGCAAAAACCCAAAGAGTGAAATTTTTGGAGCACGCGCGAACGCAAACAACAGAATCAGAAAAAAGAAGAAAAACGGAGTGAGATACATTTGGGTTTATATTATTTTTTGTTTAGCTACATAGATGATGAGCAAGCGCAGCAACAACAAACAACAACAACATAGCAGAGAAGAAGCAACACTCACGCACACACAGTCGCATATGCATATGTATACGTAGAAGGGCAGGCATGATTATTATGTTGTGTTTTTAGTCGAATGTATCTTTTAGTCGGGCAAAGGAATACACGAATGTCGGGAGTCGAAACGTATTACGCATGAGATCTCACGGTCTTACATACCCATCAAAGAATCTCGCATGAAGAAAATATTAAAAAAAAAAGAAACTCCATAAGACGTAAATCAATAAATTTTATGCGCAAAATATAAGTACAAGTACATCATATATTTATGTGTGTGTGTCAAAATAATAAGAAAAAACAAAAACAAAAATAAACGGTAAAGTTTAAAATCAGTAGCAAAACAAAAACAACAACGATATTTTCAGCGGCTTGCATGAAGCAGCTAAAAAAGGTGTGTAGTAAATAAAAAAAAAAAAAAAGTTAACGGAAAAACAGAAACAGTGATGGGGCTTAAAGCGCAGGGAAACCGTTGTTAAATATTTCTTTGGAAGCAAACAAGATAATAAAAACAGAGATTTTCCAAAATCCAATACACTCACCGTAATTATTAATTGATTAACAGTAACATTTAAGATTTTTTCAATAGTACATTGAGATTTTCTTCTTTTTTTGCCGTTTGTATGTATTGCTCACACACACATACATGTACATCTACCCACCTAGATATTTGTATAAATACAACCCTCATCCCTTGCCGTTTTTGCGTCTTGCACGTAGTCCACACACACACGCATATACAGACTGTTTCTATGTGTGTGTAAGTGTGTATACAAATGCAAAAGGACTTTAACTTCTTGCTTCATGTTGTTGTTGCTGTTTTTTCTACAACGTTTTTGAGACACGGCGACTGTTTCGATGGAAATGTTCCAAGGGTGACAAGGGTAGTTTCTGCACAGTGTATTTTGTCTACACGGCCCAAAAATCTAGAAGTGCATCATTTTGTAAGGCCTTGCATTCATACATATATACACACATACGCGCACACATACAAGTTTTCATTGCTGCCACAGAGTAGAAGAGAGTGAAGGAGTGAGAGAAAGAGCAGGGCAGAAAGGTAGATAGCGCGAGAGAGTGAGAGGGACAGAGAGAGAAAGAGAGTGGGCTAGGGAGGGTGAGTTAATTGGAGCTGTTTCGGCGCAAAAGATTTTTTTTTTTTGTTTTGATTCCAGACTATTCTATGATTCTTAAGAAATAGATTGATAATTCGTTTAAGCTAAACTTATTATTGGGGAAAAATATTCCAAAACTATTATTGCTATTATTACTGTTAAATATTTATTATCTTTATTTTATTATTCATTTAATTTTGAGTAAATATTTGTAAAATGAATTGAACTAGTTCTGTTTAGCTCATTGGCTCTTCCACTGTTGCTCATTATTATTTAACTTTTTCAAGCTAATTTCGAACTCTTTCCACACCTCATTTTGTCAATTCTTTTTAGTCAGCACTCACTGTATCAAAGTTATTTTATTCTTCAGATGTATTTAGTTTAGATCCTTCGATTCGGCTCATTTTTTTTCTAGCCTGTCTTTACTGTAGTAACTCCTTTATTGAATTAACTCTCAAAGGCAAAAGTTAACTGCAAAACAAGTTCTACCATAATTATTTTTTCCAGTGTAATCTCCATCTGTCGCTGCGTTTTCTTGTTGTACCGCTTCTTCCTCTTGTTGTTGTTGAATTTTCTGTTATTATTGTTGCTCTAAGAGGGGATGAAAGTCGGTCGGTCGTCCGCCCGTCCGTCTGTATTTTGGGCGTTTTGTCGCTCCATCTTGAAGATGGCAACGAGCACAACCAGTTTTTTTTTTTTTTACTGGATTCGAAGTTAACACGGAAATCGGGTAGAAATCGTGGCCTTAGGGTGTGGGGGCCTTTGGGGGTGGTTTTAGCGTTATCTAGAAAGTCCTATAAATAGAAAATGTTTTTGGTGCGTAGTTTTTGGCTTTTTATTTGTTTTGTTTTGGAAATTGTTTGTGGGTCACAGAACCCTTCTGCAAGTACAGCCAGAGTCGAAGGGTGTTGCATTTACACTAGCTAACAAGAGAATTGCAATTTGTTGTTTACTAATGGTTGGGAATTGGGTATCTTTTTTGAAGAAGTTTTATGATACTTTAACTGTACCATTTACATCGCATTCGCTTCTGTTTCGATTTCGAAACATTAATATGTAATAAATGTAATGCAATTATTTTATTTACATTTACATTTTTCGAAAACTTGGTTCCTTGGGCATCTAAATATTTTCATGCCATGCTTTATCATTACATTTAATTAATTCGAATTCGAGTTCGAAAACTTTCTTTCACTGGTTATGGATTTCTGGTTCTGGCTTATGTCCGCCATTTTGTATACTAAAACGGAATCAGTGTCATAAATTGGGAAAATGCGTGCCAAATTCCAGGATGCTGCCAAGGCTATAAACTGGAAAACCATTTCATTTTTCTTCGTCTTGTTTTTGACCTGCTGCCTTAAGACTCTTCCTGAGCTGTGAGCCGTGAGCCGTGAGCCTGTGCCTTGTTGTGCAGCTGCTCATGCGGGTCGCTTGCATTTTCCTGAGGGATCAAGTAACAATGGCCCAAGCCAAAGACGATTTCCCGCTACCTAAGACGCACACACACACATGCAAGCAGCTGCAGTCACGCATTGGGTGCTTGTGCGCGAGAGAGAGAGGGAGAGAGCGAGAGGTAGAGGTAGAGCTGAGTCCTGCTCATTTGGACTACTTAATGACAGGACATTGCCTATTCTCAACTTAGTTAGCTGCCTACACGGCGTCTGTGAACCTCGCCTTCGCCTCGCGGTTAATTTTCCACTTTTTGGCGCGTTCCAAACGCAATTCAAATAAAATCAATAAAATAGAATAAAGCTGTTGTTATACCAACAACTTTTATATTGACAACTGTTATACCGACAACTGTTATACGCAACTGTTATACTCAACTGCGTCTCCGTCTGTCTCCATTTAGCTTGAGAGTGTCTCGTTGACTGCCAAGGGCCACGCCTACAACGCTGTTGCCACTTATCGTAACGTGATCTCAATACAGAACAAAATCTTATGATGGAACTCTTGTCAAACAATACGGTTCCACAACAAATGGCCAACAGCAATGCGCCAAGCGCGGTCGCCGCCGTCGGAGGCGGCAGTGGCTCTGGCGCTACCAATGCCGGCGTCGGCGTCAACGGTGGCAGCGGTAGCGGCAGCGGCAGCATCAGCAGCAACGCCAGCAACTCATCGGAACGACTACTTGCCGGCATACTGGAATCATTTCCCGCCTGGGATCTCAATGTGGGACTCATGCCCAATGTGGGCGCAGCCAATGGGTAAGTGAATCATAGCGACTTGAACCAGTTCCACTCCAAATGAATTAAACTTCTTCATTAAGAAACTTTGAATTATCACAAACTTTAACTGTAAGTTTAACTTTAAACT